GCTGTGTTGTCGATAAAGCGGTGATGAATAGTTCATTGAATTTGCAAAAATATTATTTCTGCAAAATTATTTCAAATATTAGTTCTGCTAACCGGAACTGAGTTTAGATTGCTCAATGAAATGGTTCGAAACTATGCAATAAACTGAAAATCATGAGCATTTAGCTTTATTTTGAATCAACTTAAGCATTTTCAGAAGAATTTGAAAGGAAAACAAACAAAAAACCAAACACGTATTTGCTGGTTAGATTCTGTCAGCTGATAGATGCAGTTACGCAACAACTTAACGACCGACTACTGTAACTTGATCTTGCCTCTGCCTCTGCATCGTTTCGTTATTGTTTCTCCGAAATGATCAACCACAACAGTTGCCGGAAATTTTCGACCACAAGTATTGGTTGGCTGGTTGGTTGGATAGGAGGCGTGCAGTGCAATTGGGACGAATTTCTGGTTTGGTTTGAAAATTTGAAAAAAAATCGAAAATTTCAGGCGCGCCATCTACTAAAGGAAAATGCACTCTGAAGGAGAACACAAAGCGACGAAGCACACACAAACACTCTCAATGCACTAACAATACGATGCAAATAAATTGGATTGCAACTGTGGAATTGATGTGGACGACAATTTTGGGGGAAGTTTGAAATGGAATAGAGCCGGCCGCGATATTTTCGATTGCATAATCTACGCCATCAAGAAAAATTTCTTGAGGAAATGGTCCTCTAAATGTTTAATTTGATTTGATTTGGAAGGATGGACTACTCAACAAGATGATGTGAGTGAGTTATTTCTGCGCTGTTATCAGTTGATGATAGTTAATGCGTTTTTGCATTTGTTGAGCTTTTGACAGTTTTTAAATGCAAATAAGAACGGCTTGAAGCCAGAAATTTGAGAATGAATTCATGAGAACCAAATTCTGCATTAAAGATTTGTAGGAATATGTGGGGTGAATTTGATGAAGAGGTGCGGAATGCCTGCAAAAATTTCTTCCGTGAAGATCTTTTGAAGATATTCAATCTCAAAAACTGATTCCGCTTTTAAGTGATCAAATTTCTAGTGAAGCTGATCGGAAATTCGTTTGATTTGCTGGCGGCGAATACAACTGGCATCCGTGAACGTCATATGAGTCTATCTTGCAAAATGATTGCTTGCTCCAAAGCGGAGTTGATGTCAGTGAATCGAATAGAAATGACGTGATTTTAAAACTACTCTCAAAGAGAAGAAAGAAGTAACAAACGAAATGAATGAATGAGCTCCAAAGCGAATTTAGCCAATAAATCTACTTCAATGCGGTACAACCAACCGAACAATAAGCGATGATCACATTTTATTCAAAGATATATTTGCTTAGCATAAAGCTGAACTGACTATGTATGCGTGTATGTATATCTATCTATATCCGTACTAAAATACACTCATCAATATCCATACCGAGCAGTACACCTACAAATTATCCCAAGCAACATCGATGGCATCATAAGTAAGTACTTTCCTTATTCACAGTTCTATCGTGGGCGAAATGAACATGACATTTGCTGTTTTATGCTCAGTATTATCCGTCGTTCAATGTTATCAGTTACTTATTGCTTTTGCTTTGAAGTTCATCAATCATTTGGAAAGTTTTTGTGTTGTCGAACACGTTGTCCGTTGTTCAGTGAGAAGTCGGTGGTGCTTTTTGCATTCAATTTATCCGTTTAGATCAGTCAGTGCAGAGCAGCTTGGCATTATTTAAACGATCACTCTTTGCTCTTCTACCTCGATCACATCATCGTCATCGCCATCGTTGCATCAAAACTCTCTCTGATTCAACAAATCTGAATCTCATTGAGCAGCAAAAGTTTTCGTGAATTGTACTCATTCATTTCATTCAATGTACTTATGACGAAACACACAAATTCTCATATCTTTCTAGTAAAAAGGCAAGCAATTTTTCTTGTTCGAACAACTAACTACTATCCGTTTGCAAATATCAACAAACGAATAGATAATGGTACATTGTGCAAATGAATCCAAAGCGACATCAATGTACTTTTTTAATTAATGTACAATCGTCATATGATATTTGCAAAAATTTAGTTTTAACTGTAAATATGCAGAATTATTCTTCTCGGAATAATTTCAGTGTCTTGATAAGTGATTATGTTTATGTGATCATTTTAGTGTAGAACACTAGTTTGATTGCCTGAAGTTTTTCGAGAAACAAGTGAACACACTAGTATGTCGTCAGGAAAACAGCTGAAATCAAAATCGAGCGCCCTCGGATGCAGATGCTGACTAAAGTTTGAAAATTGCCCGAATCAAATGATAATCGCCTCAGAGAACGACTCGAAAGAAATTCTCCGAGAATCCTTCCACAACAGTGATCTGCAAGCATATATCAATACAATATAATCAAACACATAACAAATATGAAAAGTTAGTTGATAGATTGAATCAGTTTTATTGCTCTTTTTTAATTTGTTTCATACCTCAATTAAAATAGTTACTTTGATAGAATTTTAGAATATTTTTAGATTCGTTAGATTCGAAAAAAAGGATGATTTTGCATAGTGCATCATCGACCCATTCAAGTTTTGCATTTGCATTGATTACTTTACGTCGTAACTTTGCATGCCATTCAGTAAGCCCAGTGGAACTGATTGAATGTGCTGATAAAAAGTTTTCTAAAGAAACGTTTAATTTATTGAGCACTGACTGGACACATGGCTAGATATAGGCATTGAAGTACTGATCTGATCTGATCTGATCAGATCATGATTACTCTCATCATCATCAGTCAATTTGATTGACTGCTGGAATGATTTGTATGATTTGGATTCAACTATGAGACAGACTCTCATCATAAGTGAAGTTGAGTTAAAACTATTCGAATCAGTGCATTCTCCTGCAAGTGACACAACGACAGAAGTCTGTCTATCTGTCGTTAGCGTGCGTTGACATATGAAAAGAGCAAAATGCTGATAGCGTCGGTAACGTTTTTGAAGATTTGAAGTTTAAAGTTTCAAACAAAAAAAAATTCCACGAGTTTGTTAGCTTTTTCATTGCCGTTGTTTTCAAGTTGTTGTTTTTGTTTTCAAAAACCTCATAACATTAACATCATTAGCATCGTTGCAAAGCAATGTCAATGTTTGTTTTCTTCCAATTGTTTCGGGCCATAACTCCTAATGAGATGAGATTTTTTTTAATGACAGCGATAATGTGCAGGTGGAAAATATTCGAGTGAAACAACTATTCAAACGGGTGATCAGGAAATTTGAATCTGAATGGGATTTCACGAAAACACAGCGGAACCTTATGACAGTCAGCCAGCCATCAGGGTGTTCACGGCATTGCGCAAAAGACTCCGTAGGCAGCTGATGATCTCTAAAGTGCAAAATTACCCGAGTAAACTCTGAATGGAATGTTTTTTGTTTGTTTTTTGGATGACTCCTTCCGAAAGAGCAAAATTTCAAACGCCATTTGGAAACATATCTGAGAGGATGTGGATAGCTAGCAGTGTAGAGTAGAAGCATTATCGCAACACATGTGCTCATAAAAATTACCCATTGCTAAGATAAATCAAATTTGTGTTCATAGTAATGCGTGAGATAAAGATGAATTCATAACAATAGATCGTAATGAGAATAATAAGTGCGATTGTAAAGCATTTGAATCGAACCGTTTACAGAATTATTTATCGCTTGTCGAATAGTGAGCTTCAACAAAGATATATACACGATGAGGATGTGATTTCATCAGAATCAAATTCGAATTCATATTTGAAAAATATGCGTAATAATGATGGTGATAATAGGATTGAGAGAATCATTTTAGCTTGCTTGATCAAAGGAAATATTACAAATATATCATCATAATAGCCGAATGAATATTGAACACGCTTTTGAATTCGATTTATTATGCATTTTCATATATGACATATCCGATGGAATTTTGATTTATCGACTGCATATCTCATAGTGAGCGTTCTCTTTAATGATCACTTTTATTCGTAGAAATGAAAAATGGCTCATAAACTCGAAAGAGATTTGAAAATTTCAGTCAAAATTCGAATTCGCCTGGTTTAATTCTTCGCTATGCGGTAGATAATCGCATTGCTGACAGTCTGTTAGCCATCTGGCACCTTGCAACTGTAATTACCGTATGAAGGTCGAATAAATTAATAATTACATTAATTGGATGCGCAATTCATCTTCAAATCCATTGCTGTTCGAAATTGAATTCAAAACCTTCAGTGATCCATCTGAAGAGCGTAACACCATCGATTTGACCTTCTATGAACAGTATCGGGTTAATCTTGAGCAGCTGGCGACATGCGGATGCGAAATTAGTTGCTTTTGTAAATTTTGGACTTTGTTTTAGTAATTATTAATTTAAAATAAGTTTCATGGATCCTCCTGAACTGCATCCAGATTGAATGCAATAAAATTGTTTCAGACACACAGTCGGCTGTACAAATTTATTACTGATATCAATCAACATTCATATCTTGACTGAACATAAATTCTCATGGATTACATTGACAATAATAAGAGCTGGTTCGATTCGCGAAAGAATACCACGACAAACGATAAACATTATCCTCGCTCGTGCCACCGCCCAAATATCGATGGCTATCCGTTAAGTTGACACCATCGAACACGTCCAGGTAACAGTCTGGACGAATTATTGCCATTTGTATGCGATCATTCCACTGAAACATTTTTGGATGATACGAATAATGTCAATTCTGTATTAAATAGAAATGGTCAATGCATATAAGAGCTTTTCAAAACATTGTTAATACACATGAATTGAGGAGAAACCAAGATAGCATTTTTTGAGCTAACACTAAAATCAGCCGAGTTCGTTCATGACTACCATTCTGCTGAAAATTATAAACCCCACTGAGAGCGCAATTCTGCTGTAAGTGGATAAGCCGTCAGGGAATAAGAATCGTAGGCAAATATATCCGAATTTTCACTGATTCAGGATATTCCTCATCTAGTTTATTTTGAAAGGACTTAAAAGAATAAGAAAAACCGAGAAACTAACGAACAATTTCATCGATATTCCACTCTTCGCTATCCTCCCGCACCGGATGAAATGAGCCCGAGCAATCGGTTGTGTCGAAAAGAAACGCACATATTGGTGGAGGGATATTGTCGGAAACTGGACACAAAGTCAAAATTGAAAATGGTATCAACGAAGCGAATGCTATCAATGAGAAGAGATTCTGAGATCTAATCTCTTTCATTTTATCACTATTGCTATTGATAACCAGGATAGCTGTCACTGGTAGATTGACTCTGTAAATTCATTTGATCATATTTTGATTTAATAGGAGAGCAGTTAACGTTGCATTCACATTCATCCATCATGATATCATAATCATCTCAAGCATTCCGAAAAGTGACATGAATATTTCTATTTTTTGAGTGTTATTTGATTCCGATGATCGATGATTCATGAACGAAATCGAGTGGTTTTCGATTTCCTTTATGAATCACCGGAATATTGATGAGTGCTATTTGATGAAGATCTCAAGTCAGCGTTTTTATTGTGGTCTTGTCACTAATCAGAACAGCACATCATTCGCTGAAGAAGCGAAAAAAACTCCTAAGACT